ATTTCTTTACACCAAATACACAAAATAATGTTCTTTTTAGCAGCATCATATGACCCCTTTAACTTTCTGATTTTCGCAAGAACTGTGACAAGCTTTTTTCCTCCAAGAAAAACTGAAATAAAAAGGCAATGGCGAATCTTTATCTCATAATTCCGACATAATTGCAATTTCTGACTTTTCTTCTCAGAATTGCAAGTTTGTATCTCACAATTGCGAATTATAAACTTGCAATTACAAGTTAATAACTCAAATTTTCTATCTCGCAATTCTGGCTTTTTTTTTTCCAAAGAATTTCAAGAAGTTGGAAGTGTGAGATGAAAAGTTGCCAGAATTGCAAGATATAAACTCACAAGCATTTTTTAATCAGAAATGCAAGTTTATAACCTGCATTTGTGAGACAAAGTTTGAACTGTGAGATAACGTCGTAATTACCTTTTTTATTTTTTTTTATTCCTTGCAGAAACAAGCTTTTCGTCTCGATTTGCCCAATTCTGACTTTTTTCTCGCAATTGTGAGTTTATATCTCGCAGTTCTCAGAATTGCAAGATAAAACAATCAGAACTTACAAAATTGTGATTGTGAGATAAAAAGTCACAATTATTATTCTTTTTTTTTTCCTTGTCGGAAAAAAAGCATTCAAAGTATTGCACTAACAGAAATGAAAGAAAGTAGAAAGCTCTGCTAAACTGCTGCTAACCAAGACTAATGTAGTTTTCTCTTCTCTTCCCAAGGACATGTACTATGCATCTGTGAAAGCTCTCTATACGGTGGGCTACAGCACGTCTCTGGTGTCTCTGACCACAGCTATGGTCATTCTGTGCCGCTTCCGGTCAGTTTAACATGTACCGATGAAACTCTGATGAAGTACATGATGCATGTCAAAACATGGTATTACCATGTTATTTTTGCTACTTTATTGGTAGTGATTTGATTATCTTAGGAAAGAGGAGTATTTTACTAGAAATATTTGCTGCAGTACAAAACTGCGACTTAATTTTCTTCATGCAAAATATAATTTCTTTTATTTCTTCTTTTTTCTTTTTTGGTGTGTATTATCGTCCAGACGCGAGATTGGCCTCTCAACTTTTTAAAATACAGTTTCCCGATTACAATGAAAAAGGATTTTACAGCCTGATGCAAATGAAGAAGCTTTTTGAGTACTTTGTTTTCTTTAGTTCTTTAGAAAAGCATCTGTGTAGTGGTGCTTTACAGTACCTAAAAAGCAAATAGAGTGATCTGAAGAACCTGTGTATGATGTACATTAATGATAAGATGCCGAGGGCTTCAAAGAAGCAATGATGAGTGTTTGCACATTGATACAGACCCTCAGCTGCCCACCCAAACACATTAGAATTTCAATCTCCTAACAACACCGTAATCCTGCCTTTGAACGTCTGTCAACAGGAAGCTTCACTGCACCAGGAACTTCATCCACATGAACCTGTTTGTGTCCTTCATGCTGAGAGCCATCTCTGTGTTCATTAAAGACGGGGTCCTGTATGCTGAGGAGGACAGCGACCACTGCTTCGTTCATACTGTGAGTAATGCACATGCACCAATGCACATATTTTGTTTTGGATTGAAGCTTCACTAAACCTTTTTAGTTTTATGCCTGAAGAAATTAATATGACAAATGTATTAAAAATTATGTTTAAATTAAATTAATTTAATATGTTCTATGTAGTAGATTACTTATATATATACACACATACAGTATATATATAATACCACTAAATACTAAATATACCAATACTTAAAAAAACTATTAATTATTTCTAAATATTTATTTATAACAGTTTTACCTTTTATGGTACCATCAGCATATAAAACTATATGGTTTTGGTGGTGTGGTTTAAAGTTTTTCTATAGGCTTTGCTTTCACAGTGAATCACAGATAAATGGAAACTGTTACTAGGGCCGGAGTTTGGCTGGATGCTATTTGCATGTGAAATCCAGAGACTAATAATAACTCCATCCATTTCTGTTCAAGCCTTCGCCCCACGTTCAACAGCAACACGTTGTGTTTCTCCCGTCTGTGCCTGACAAACAGCCGTAATTATAATGAAGCTGCTCTGGAAATATTCCATTATTTCTGTATTAGCATATGAATAGCTTATAAAACCGTGCACGCTCTCATTATACACCTGAATGAGGGCTCTGAGCTCTTTCCGCCAGCCAATCAGAGGCCATGTTAATGACATCACTTAGCACCGAATTGGATTAGAGGGTAATTGATGAACATGGTTAAATACTTTAGGGTGTTCTGACACACGGCGGGCAAGAAATTGTGAATGGAAATGAATGGAAATATACAGTCTGTAAGATGGAAGGATGCATCATGGATCCAGTTGCTTACAGCTGGTTTAAGATGGTCACTAGGCCGGGTTGATTAGCTAAACTATCTGGCAGACCACTATGGACCAGCAACAAATCAGCTGCTAAACCAGATTGACCAACTTAAACTGGTTTGACCCAAGAAGGCCTATAATACAAAGAGAAATCTCTCTGTTTGCATTCATACATCAAATAGCCAGTGTCAGTTTTTGCACTTAAATAATTTCCTAATGGATGAAGTCCTGTCATTTATTATAAACTGTTTCATAAAATATGTCAGAATAGGGATGTAAAATGAAGATGGCTAGATTTCTGAAATAGAAACCAGAGACATTTCCTACAGTCTAGTGGTCAAAATATCATTGAAATGTCACTTGTTATAAACTTGGAATTAAAAAATGAGGACAAGACTTTTTTGTATGTTTTTGTTTTCAATTGTTTTTAACATAATTTTATTATAATAGTATGACATTTGCAAGTCAAACTGACCCTAACTGGTATTAATACCATTTACCAAGAATCAAATAGTAAATTGCAAATAGCAGACAGATCAAAATAGTATATTATATATATACTATATTATAGCACAATTATGACTTTACAAAAACATAATCAAAGAAATACGAGAGCATATGATAAAACTGATTTTAACAAATATGTTTAACATTTTCTATCTTAATAATAAATGTTCATTTTCACAGCTGAATATATTTTGTGTCTTTATCATAATATTTAAGCATATTATTTTGCATTTTAAATTTTCCTTAATGACCTGCCTAACTCAGTCCGAGCAGCTGAGTCCTTAGCCATCTTCAAGAATCGGCTAAAAACACATCTCTTCCATTTTGACTTGACCCTCTAACTCTAGCACTCTCTATTCTAATTCTATTCTTGAAAAAAAAACTTGCCCCTTTTAGACTTGCACTCTATTCATTTACTGCTTGTTTTCTTTTTAAAAAACTAGCTTTTCTAATCTTTTTGTATTCTATCCATTTGTTTTCTTTTTATTTATTATACAATTAACAAAAGCAAAAAAAGGCCTCTAACACTAGCTTGCTCTATTCTTTTTGTTTTCTTTTTATTTATTATATAATTTAAAAAAAAAACTTGCTACATAGAGACTTGTTATAGCACTTGTATATCATTGCTCTTTTGTTGATTTTGATTGCTTCCATTGTCCTCATTCGTAAGTCGCTTTGGATAAAAGTGTCTATTAAATGACTAAATGTAATGTAAATGTCAATGTAAAAATGAAGGCTCCAAAGTAGGTTTTCACAGCATTGTGATAAGAAGAACTGTTTTTGATTCTCCAAAGAACCTTTCAGTGAACAGCGAAAAGATTTATTTTCTTAGTGTGAAGAACATTTTAATAATCTAAAAAAAAATATTTCACTACAAAGAACCTTTTGTGGAATGGAAAGAGACCAAGGATGTTAAAGGTTCTTCATGGAGCCACAGATGCCAATAAAGAACCTTTAGTTTTAAGAGTGAATGTAAAATGGCTTTCTAATGGGATCCATTGGATTTTAAGCAAACCTGAATGTGTTTCTCTGTGTTCAGGTGGGGTGTAAGGCGGTGATGGTCTTCTTCCATTACTGTGTGATGTCAAACTACTTCTGGCTCTTCATCGAAGGTCTCTATCTCTTCACGCTTCTGGTGGAAACCTTCTTTCCTGAGAGACGCTACTTCTACTGGTACACCATCATCGGCTGGGGTATGTCAAAGTGATGCATCACAGAAAAAATTGATTGTTTATGATTGATTATGTGTCACAGTCATAGATATGGAGGGAAATGGAGTGTGGCGTTTGTGTATTAACTGGCCACTGGCTCTTTATGATGTGATTTGTTGTGCTGGCGTATGTAATTCATTCATATTGCTGGTCTTAATGCATTGGAGAACAGCTTTGAGGTCTGACAAATTTCCTCTTCCTCTCGCGCTTTCAGGAACGCCCACCATTTGTGTGACCATATGGGCCGTTCTGCGCCTTCATTTTGATGACTCTGGGTACGTGCAATGCCGCATAAACAAAAACTGATATACTGTATTTGTTGCTTTGATACACAAATGCTGGCACTGAACTTCAGTGTCACTAGTCACTGTTTGGAAATGACTACATGCTATTTTTTTTATGTTTTAAATAAGAAAACACTGCTTTGTTACATAACCTCACTATGTTTAATTCGGGTGCCATCTGGTTATCATCTCAGAAATACATACGGTTTAATCCAGTTTTGTGTAAAAATATCTCTTTGGAGTTGGATTACTTAAATAGTAAAGAGTTGAATGTGGTCAACATGAAAAGGTGCAACTCATATATTTCTAATTACATTTCATTACTAATGTGATATAATCATGCACAATAAGACCAGGAGCATCTGTTAACCTATATCATATTTCATATGCAAATTTCTAAAGCCTCTAAATTAGATCAAACTTGGTTAAAAAAAAAAACTTCTTGTACACAAACTACTACATGCATTCTGTCATCTGATTGATCATTTAGAATTAGTTTTTTTATGAAATAAAAGGCCTTTTAGTATCATTGTAAAAATCATCATCATGTTGTGGTTCACATGTATTTTTGCTGTGAAATGTTTAGGTAAACGTAGTCATAAATGTAACAAATCATTTTATATTGTTAGTTATTTTTCAAGAGGAACAAGAGTATCTTTAACTTGATTGTCCATACATCATTTTTTTTTTTTTTTAGAAAAATTGTGTTAAAATGTGAGTATCAAATATGATCTTCAGGCTTTTGAGGAGCATTTATTTATACATTCCTCAATCAGCATTGTATGGTATTGCATTATATGTTTTGCCCCACAATAAAAACTACAGAGCTTTGATCATACAAATAAATATTTAAATATCATATTACTAAGACATATTATTGGGAGATATACTGATATTTACATGCATTTTATGAAAGTAGCTATCAGAATTTCATCTTACTTTTACTATTTGGCCATATACATATCAGCACCTGCACCAAATTGCATATTTTTGCTCAGTTTGAGCCTCTGAATAAAACGGAGGTGTTTTTTCCTCCTTGAATATGAGCTCTATATTCTCACTATATCGTACTGCATGTGCCATAAAAGCCTGATGTATCAAATCTGATGCTCAACAAAAAAAAATATATGCAAACTCCTTAGATTTCTTTTTATATTATGTCCAATAAACTGTTCCGTTTAACATTTCTGACTATCAAATGTCAGGCTTTACACGGTTAGGAAAATAAATAGAATACATTTTGATTCAAGCACATAGCATTTTGTGACGCAATTTTCCTGAATGCTATTTTCTTTCAAAAGCATGCACTTTATCATTCTGAACGCTTAGCTGCTAAATCACGTGACCTAGCCTACCAATAGCAATAAAGCTTCTTACAGTTAATCAATTGTATTTCTGCAGTTGCTGGGACATGAATGATAATACTGCCCTCTGGTGGGTAATCAAGGGACCCGTTGTGGCATCAATCATGGTAAGCCAAAAATAATAATAATAAAAAATTTTAGTTTTTAGAGCTAAAAGGTGGATGAATAAAACATATGAATTCATTTATGTACTGTATGTGAATGGAGCCATATTCCATACTATAATAAACGCATGTATTTCCTTTCAGATTAATTTTGTCCTCTTCATTGGAATCATCATAATCTTGGTGCAGAAGCTGCAGTCTCCAGACATTGGCGGGAACGAGTCCAGCATCTACCTGTGAGTGTGTTAGTCTCAGTCACCATGGAAACAGAGTGCTGTTGTTGTGTTGTATCTGATTAGTCGATACCATGTATCACGTGATGATGGCTGAAATGAAATGAAAGTCTTGATAGTATCCAAGCAAACACAGAACGTTCACCTAACTTTAGCATATGGTTCCCGTTTGGTTATTTTTAGGAACCAAATAAGATTCTAGAAAAGTTCTCTGTACGTTTTGTATCTAAAGTCTAATATTGCCAGAACATTGTGTGACAACCTACATAGAACTTATATGGAACGTTCTCTATTATTTTTGAGAACTAAAGGATAACAATATAGGAACATTCTCTGTAAGTATTGTAATCAAAAACTAATGTTGCTGGGAGGATTTTTGTGACAACCAAGATAGAATCTAGAAAGAGTGTTCTCTAATGGTTATTTTTAGGTTTTGTTTTATTATTCAACCATAAGGTTTTCTGTTCTGGTAACTAAAAATTGTTGACTGGGATAAGTGGAAGCATTCATTTTGTATGCATACAGAAATCCTTGTTGATCAAGGCAACATGTTTTTTTTTCTGTGGCAGTGAAAAATAAAATATATCGGGGTTTTTTTCTGGACAAGCAGTCTAAATAGCCTAAATAATCTAGAGCAGTGTTTCTCAACCGGGGGTATATACATGCATGTTTTTTTTTTTAATATATATCTGTTCTAGATTCAATGTAAACACTATGCTTTGGCAATACATTGTAACAATTGTCATGCCAATAAAGCACAAATTGAATTAAATTTAATTGAGAGAGAGAGAGAGAGAGAGAGACAGGTCACAGCGTCAGCAGAACTAAGGGTGTGTGAATACCTGGGTCTGTCTTTCTTCAGGTCAACTCTCATAATCATGAAAAAATCAGTTTGCCATCAGTTGTGAGAAGATGAAAGCGATATCTATGATTCAGTGTAAACACTATGCTTTGGCAATATATTGTAACAATTGTCATGCCAATAAAGCACACATTGAATTAAATTGAATTGAGAGAGAGGGAGAGAGAGAGAGGTGACAGCATCAGCAGAACTAAGGGTGTGTGAATACCTGGGTCTGTCTTTCTTCAGGTCAACTCCTATAATCATGAAAAAAATCAGTTTGCCATCAGTTGTGAGAAGATGAAAGCGATATCTGTGTCGTTGTATCCTTTCAGTATTTAAGGGGATTTCCCACGACTGTCGTCAGCGCTGTTCAGTACACTGAATCAATGGCATTGTTCTCTATGAAGTGAAATATCAGCTTCACTGTAACCCATGTGATGCGTTGATTGTTGATTGAGCCTTGTAAACTGGCACTCAAAGTAAATTAATGTCAACACCTTGTTTCATTCATGAATGAATCAGCGTTTTTAAGTGTATCCATTGAATGAATGTTTTTTTAATGATGACTCCCTCGTAAAGTCAATCCATTGCAGCCACCTGCTGTAACAATACCTGACAGCCCAGCGCTGATACTGAAACATCACTATATAGTCAGTGGCATAAAATGACAATAATATTGTTTCTCGCAATTATTTTTAGGGCAATATATCGCTAAATAAAAAAAATAGTTAACAAGACCAGCCTATGGACAGGTGGCTTGATAGGCCATCTATCAGTGGACCTGACACCAGAAGAGCTAAGAAAAATGGACAGCACAAAAACATGTCAATATCAATGGGGGGCGGGGGTCCATGAGGTTGGTTTGAGATATTATGGGGGTCCAGTACTCAAAAAAGGTTGAGAACCACTGATCTAGAGCACAAGACGTATGGACCACCTTTTGCATCCTTTTTGAAGCTTGAAGGCTTCAGTCCTTATTTAATGCAATTGCATGGAAAAGAGTATCATGCAAAGAATGTGCTTGAGCTATTAGTGGTCCTTGAGTTGTCTCGGTGTTGGGGTCTGTTGTTTGTGGTCAGTTTCTTGAGTGAGTGTGTGTGTGTGTGTGTGTGTGTGTGTGTGTGTGTGTGTGTGTATGTGTGTGTGTGTTCTGTCCTAAAGAGTGTTTGTTGTCTTTGTCGTGTTTAGCAGCTGTGCACAGAAATGCTTCAGTGAGCCCACACAGGCCGCCCAGCATTCGTGCAGGATGTCAGGGCTTTCTACCATCACGCTGTAAGTGTGTGTGTTTGTGTGAATGTGTGTGTGCATCTGCGCCTGTGTTGGCCAACAAATGTACATTGAGGAAAAAAAGGCTGTGAATATTCACTGCACATAGTTTTTGTGGTCTTGTCTGTGTTTTGTAGTTTTATTACGTGCACACACTTTTTAGACACTTTCATCCAAAGTGATTTACAGTACTTTGCACTCATATTTAAATCTATTTCTATCAGTTGCATTCTCTGGGAACTGAATCCATGTCACTGATGTTGTTAGCACCAAACTCTACTGTTTGAGCTACAAGACTTTTAATAAGTTTTAACTGCTGGAAAATCCAGTTTACAGTTGCCTCTTTGTTTTGGAACTGGTGGTTCAGGCTGGTCCAATCTGGTTTAGGTGGCTGGGCAGTTAGTCTTGGTCTTGGCCAAGGGCCCTCCTGAGACCAAATCAGGGCTTGGCAGTATTAGTTGATCGATATAGGTTTTCAAAGGATGATGTCATTTAATTTAATATTTTTTTATTTCACAAAAACTTTTATTGAACATAATATTTACTCGAATATTTTACAAAAACTTGAAAAAAAAAAAGGAAACTGATTTTTAAGTGTGTTATTCATCCACTAAATAAATTTGGGAATTTTTTTTTGGAACCAGATTTTGGAATTTTTTTGGAGCCAGATTTTGGAATCAAAACAGGGTGAACTATAGCACAGCTGGTAATCATCCAAGCAGTTTTGGTTATTGACCCACTATTTTTTTTTTTGTTTGTATTATGTCTACAGTTTTAATAAACTGTTCCATTTAAAAATATATATTTCTGACTATTATTTCATATCTTAGGTTAGACTTTAATTGCAGACTTTGTTATTTCGGTAATGCACAGCCAGACATTGTTGTAATCTCTTCTGAAAGTCTAGAGAAGAGACACGTGAGATTATTGGGATCTTTTGCTCAGGAGAAGCATCTGAGGTCTCTATTCGCGCTTCTGCTGTCTAGAAGAAATAATAGATAAATCAAAGAGGCCTTCTTTCCTGTGGAGCAGGATTGTTGTGGAGGGCTCTGATCTCCAGTGCATTACAGTAACTGTGTGTTGACATATTGAGAGATTTAATCAGCTGTCTGAAGCACCGCTGTGTGTGCTGTGTGTTGACAGGCGTCTGGCGCGCTCCACCCTGCTCCTCATCCCTCTGTTCGGAATCCACTACACTGTTTTTGCCTTCTCCCCGGAGGATTTCAGCAAGCGGGAGCGACTGGTCTTTGAGCTGGGCCTGGGCTCCTTCCAGGTACTGAGCGTCAGCTTTTATAGTAGCAACTTTAGCGCTGTATTTTAGAAACACCTCCGTGGACACTATTTCTCTTTTCCAAACCAGTGAGCTGCCAGAAATGGCATCATACAGTAGGTGCGATCCCAACACAAGGGCTGTTCCAAACATAGGGCATCAATATTAAATGCTGCCAGAATATAAGCTTTTGTGGATTAGACAACTTCAGAATGCATTGCAAAAATCCTAGTGAAAAGTTGATTTCAAAATGGCAGATAGAACCAAAAGAAAGCATATTTATTCAGTACTTAAGATCCAGTGTCCAGTTTTGTATTAAAATATACAACCAGTATTAGTATCAGTATGAGTATGACATATTTTTTTGAAGCCATTAGCTTAACAGCATACTTATGTTAGGCTCTGTTGCAACTTGCAGTCAACTCTAGTTTTCACTCTACTTTTGTGAATTGCTGCCTATGTAGAGTGTTTCAATTCATTCAATTTTTACTTACAGTGTTATATTTTTAGTACTATGCTGCCTTAGATGGTAGCCAATGTAGACAGCAAGGCACACTGTAAGAAAAATAAAAATTACCAGTACATTTTCTGTCAAATTTACTTTCAAACATAAAACACTATGCAATAAGTATTTCAAAATACAGGTAAAACGTCTATAAAATATTCATACAAAAAATTGCTTCATGTTGACAGTATTGGGATATGGTTTTGCAGTTCACTAGGTTTTGGAGCTTGATTAAATGAATAGATCTGCTCACCAAGGCTGCATTTATTTGATAAAAAATACAGTAAAAACAGGAATATTGCGAAATACTATTGCAGTTTAAAATAGCTGGTTCATATTTAAATATATTTTAAAATTCAACTTATTCCTGTGATGCAAAGCTGAATTTTCAGCAGCCTTTACTCCAGTCTTCAGTGTCACATGATCCTTCAGAATTTGCTGTTTATGAAAATGTATTATTATTATCAATGTTGAAAACAGTTGTGCTAATTATTTTTGTGGAAACCATTATACATTTTTAGGATTCTTTGAGGAATATAAAGAAATCAATTGTATCATTATAAATGTCTTTGCTGTCTTTTAATGAATGCATCCTTGCTGAATAACAGTATTGATTTCTACTAAACTTTTGAACTGTAAAGTACTTTAAAATGATATCCACTTCACCACATACTCACTTTAACTCTCCACAGGGGTTTGTGGTTGCCGTGTTGTACTGCTTTCTGAATGGAGAGGTAAGAGCTTTTGTTTTGATATTCTCAAAAGCATGCAATCAGCTGTGATATTAATTTCATATATGTTTGGGTTTGCTCAGAAAACATTACGTTTCCACAATAATTTATCCAATGTGCTACATAAATAAAATCTAAATTTTTGCTACATTTTTAGTTACTGCCAAAACACTACCATGTCCTGACCAGGTGTGATGTGATTAAGTGATAAGCAATCAGTTTCTTCCATGTTACAGCAAAAATTCACACAAAAATGAGGTAGCCCCGCCCACAATGAAATCTCATTGGTCCAAACATAAAACATCAAATATAGTTCTGATTGGCTATTATATTGTGCAGTATTTTGCTTTCTGTGTCCACAAACGTGTCACTTCTGGCTTGGACATGGTGTAGAGCGTGGACTTGTGGAGAACGCGTGCACCTTTACAGCTGAGTACATTAAAAAATGACCTTTTCAAGTTTCTCCCTAAAGGTGCAGTCGGAGATAAAGAGGAAATGGAGGAGTTGGACGGTGAACAGGTACTTTGCTGTGGACCTGAAGCAGCAGCGTCATCCTTCGCTAGCGAGCAGTGGGGTGAACGGGGGGACGCAGCTGTCCATCCTCAGCAAGAGCAGCTCACAGATACGCATGTCCAGCCCTCTGGCCGAAACGGTCAACCTCAACCTGCCCACCTGAGCGCCTGATTGGCCCGTCCGCTCATAAGCCCCGCCCTCCAACTCACCCTCTTCACCTGCAGTAGGGCCGACCAATCACAATTAGAGAAGAACTAGTAATAATTAATGAAATCTCTGGATAGTATTTAAAGATTCCAAACAAGATCCAGAATGTGTCACCCATTATCGGTTAGAAGCGATTCGTCCAGGGAAATATTTATAGTGCCAAAACTGTTTCAAGCTTAAAAGTTGCAATTCAGGTTAGGAAGCTTTTTGACCATAACGCAACTTTTTGAAGGCTTTCTAATTAATCTAATAAGTAAATAACAATACAAGCATAAAAGAATGTAATTTTAATCAATAATAATGCAGAACAGGGGCTGTATGATTCACACCGCAATGCCAAAATGAGATCGCGGCGGAAATTAGAGTGAATTTTCATATCGCATTTTGAGCCATAGAGAATGTGAACGGTTTGTGGTTAGAATGTAGTCAGAGAAACATCAATCCATCCAACAGCACATTGCTTTCTAGTTTAAGTGTAAATCAGATATCTACGGAGCCCCGCACATGGCATGCAGGAAAAAAATAGTAGGCTAAATTGTGTGCACGATTTACTATTTCGTTCCCTCGATTTTTAAATTGTGCGCTCGATTTACTAATTCGTTCCCTCGATTTGCTAAATCGTGCACATGATTTATAAATCGAGAGAACGAATTAGTAAATTGTGCGCACGATTTAGCAAATCGAGGGAATGAAATAGTAATCGTGTGCACGTTTTAGTACATCGAGGGAACGAATTAGTAAATCGTGCACACGATTTATTTATTTTTTCTTGCATGTCATGTGCGGGGCTCCCTAGATATCAGAGAGAGAGACGGGTTACATTTCAGTGTTAAAGTTAAGTGCCAAAACATGAATATTTCAGTATTGTTTTATCTGCAAGCTACTGTGTTTTTCAGAAGTACACTATAAAGGAAAATGTACAGACTTTGTGTTGCTCGTTTAAATGCTGTGTATTTGATTAAATGTTCTCCACAGAGAGATTGTAAAACATATTTTTTTTACAATCAGCCGTAAGTACAGAGTATGTCAACAATATAAAGACTTATGAATGACTCATGAATTTAGATTATATGTAAATGTTGTTATGGTTTTGTGATTTAGCTTTTAGCCAGTGGTATCTTATTGTAATGCGAATGGTTTGTAACTACACAGAGCCAATATCAGCAAATCAAGGATTGTCAAAAAACAGTTCCGTAAACAATTACTGGAGCGAGGAGGCTATTCCACAATTCCCTCTGATTTATTCTGAAGTGCCTGATGGTCACAAAAATAGCTTTGATGGATCGACTCTAAACAACCAGTGCCATGCAGTATTGATTTAATTATTAGTCATTTAGTAGTGTAGATTAACAGATTCAGTGTTCAGGTTTGCTTTTACAATCTTTAATTTCTACATAGTAGGAATATATTAATTTATACACAGTATTAGAGTGCATACAGTATTTCTAGAGCTTTGAGATGCGCAAATCAATGCCATTACATTACTATCAGGTGCATTATAAATGCTTTTAGGGCTGACATTTTCAACTGTGAGAGAAATTAGACATTTGAGTGAGATGTGAAAGTGTTAAAAGATATTTTAACCAAAAATGTTGATTCTGTCATAATGTACCAACCTTCATGTCATACCAAACCTGATTTTTTTAAATGTTTGTACTCTTAGAATGATAAAGTAAAGAATCTTAAGCTCCAAAAAGTGACAAAAAGCATAATTTTAGTACCATAAAATATCATATGAATGACTTTTATTATGCTTTTTGTTGTTGTTGTTCATATTTAGAGCTTGACAGCCGGTGATCACTATATGTTGCATGGTAACAAGTAAAGTATGCCAGTTTTGAAATGGCATGAAGGTGAGTAAATGATGACAGGTTCTGATTAATTTTTGAGTGAACGCTTTTAATACTTGAGAGACAGGTAACCCCCAACCCTTTACAAGTACAATATCTGATGTCAATCTATGAATCCAACCAAATTTACTGCATCACCACTGACTGACAATCATAATTAATTAGTTATCATCACTCACATTTTACATGTTTGATCGCGAAAATAACGTGCATCAGTGTGCAAAGTGGCAAGAGTCTCTGCTAAAAGTGTTGTTTATTTCCAGTACAGTATTATTCTCTGCCGTGAGTGTAAATTCTCTGTATATGATAAAGACGCACATGTGCGTAAATGATGGATGTACCAGCACTCTCTCTTTAGTCAACACTTACGGTCATAAAGTACCAACGATGTATGTAAAACTTCTGTGATTATAAACGTGCCCATTTTGAAATGCAATATGCTTTTGTTGCAGCTCATAGCTGTCGGTGAATCACATGGCAGAGTTGAGGTGATTATTGAAATGTACAGTAAAGTGATGGTCGTGTAGATCGCACAGATCTTTTAAAAAAAATGTGGGGAAAGTGTATACGTTTTTTCATTTGGCTGTTATTTTGAAGTTGAAGTGTGTAATTTGTGTGGTACTATCATCATCAGCAAACGAAAATACAAAAATAATGACAGAAGGTTTCGAATGCTCCTCATCTTTCATTGGCCGGATTAAACATAGCCCTGCCCCCTAGCGCAATTAGTTGAGACGGATTGCGTTTTTCTTTAAACAAACATTTCTGATGTAAAATACTGGTTCTGTACTTAATATGCAGAGATGACTATAACATAGTGCTGTCAAACGATTAATCACGATTAATCGCATCCAAAATA